TCCAGAAGAAAAAGGAAGCACGTATCCATGGAGTCCTGCTCCCTGTGGATCTCTGCTGGCCCCGCAGGCTGTACACATCTGAATACTAAACAGGCAGAGGTCTCAGAGAAGCCCTGAGACAAGAATCATGAGACACAAGATGTGGGACCCCAAAGCAAGCTTCTGCTGGGCAAGGGGAGCTGAGCAGAGCTCAGTTCTTGCTCAGAAAGTGGAAGCACAACCACGAGGATTTGAAATGGAGCTCAAAATAGGGCCCCCAAATTATCAACTTTTGAGGTTCAGGAACTTGCATAAGGGGTAACTGTCTAATGAATAACTATGTCTTTCCATTAAGTCAACCAGTGATATTTTAATATCTCCTTGTCATTTTTGCATCCTCAATTTTGTCAGTGATGTCTCTCAGGTTTTAAGAGTGAGAATAAATTTGAATTGTTGGGGTAGCAGTCCAATGTTACATTGGACTAACCAGCTGCATTTTAAGTTGAGCAAATATTAAAGTAAAATGTGAAAGAATCATGTAAGAAAAATTCACACTTGAGCTGTTTTTATATTTGATAAATCCAGATGCTTTAAAATCATTTCTAATAGGGTTTTATTTATAAGAAGTAAGTGGGGAGAGAGGACCTTCTTAAGAATAATTGAACTTCAGATCATTTTTATGTATTTGTAATAGTTACAAAAGCATAATGAGTCCTTAACTGACAGAATTTATGTAGCTATATTAACTAGATAATTGATTCAATAATAGATTATTGAGCAATATATTAAAAATAACCATTTCTTGAGCACTTATTGAATCTTTTTTTTTCTTTAAATAGAGACAGAGTCTCATTTTGACGCCCTCGGTAGAGTGCCATGGTGTCACACAGCTCATGGCAACCTCCAACTCCTGGGCTTAGGTGATTCTCTTGCCTCAGCCTCCTGAGTAGCTGGGACTACAGACCCCACCACAACACCTGGCTATTTTTTTGTTGCAGTTTGGCCAGGGCTGGGTTTGAACCCACCACCCTTGGTATATGGGGCCAGCACCCTGCCCACTGAGCCACAGGCATCGCCCAGCACTCATTGAATCTTAAGTACTATTTTGAGTTCTTTAAGGTTAATCTACTCCTCACAATATCTCTCAAGTAGGTATTATCAAACTTTCATTTTAAAGATAATGAAACTGAGACACAGTTTGAGTAACTTGTCCAAGGTCACATTGCTGATAAGAGGTAGAGCAAAAATTGGTACCATGTACTTAATATCTTCATGGAAAAAATAGAATCATTTTCTCTTTGCAACGATTAAGATAATCCAAATGAGATTATTTCAGTTAAAAAAAAATCCACCTCATTACAGGACACTGGCAATTTCATCAAATCTGTGTTTTGATTGCAAATGTTCCTCCAGTATGAAAGAGAGAAAAATACATATTAAGATAAAAATAATGGCAAAAACATGAGAGGATAGGCAGACATTCTTTTGACATACAAACCAGTTCTGCACAGTAGAATAATTAAGACGTCATTCAGGAGTTGGAGGGTTTGAGTTATAAAACTAGCTGTCAACTAATTAGCAACTAGCCGGTATAATGCAAATCTCTAAAGTAGTTTAGCATATGCTACTAAGAACTTTTCAGAGGCACAGCTGTTCTTCCATTTACAGTTCCAGGTCATCTACAGGTGGGGTTTGTTACCATTTGTGGTCACGACATCTGCTGACACCTAATGAAGATACCACTCACCAGCCAGTCTACGAGATGACTCAGATACACTTTAGATTATTCAGTTTCTGCGGAAGTACAGGAAAGTCCTGTATTTCTTGTTCCTTTCTCACATGACATCTGCCTAACTACAAAGACCTGAATGCTCTGCTGTGATATAGGTATGCGGCTTCAAATAAGCCAAGGTAGAATACAGGTGTTTTCCATCGGCTAAAGTGAAAAGGGCAAATTTGTGAAACCCCATTTTTAAGGTGCAAGCTTCATATATGCTATACAAACTGCATGAAATCTATTAAGGTTTGATTAGTAATCAAGTCTGGTTTGAAAATTCCACATAAGATTCACTGAGTTTTACTTTCAACCCATTTTGGGGAAACGTGCAATGTCTTTACAACATCTACCCCGACTTCTTTCCTTTTCCCTTGTTCCTCCCTGCTGGTTATTCTTTGATCATTCAGTGTCTTCTTTATTTATTTTACACTGTGCTTAGGACAGAAGGTAAACACTACTACTCCCAATGCCTACATTCCATCCTTCTAATATTATTAAAACAAATATTTATCTAGTACCTAGAATGTCATAGTCAGTGTTCTTCTGAAAACTGAAGATACATCATCAAATCATACATATGTGCCAAAAAAGAAGAGATTAGCTAAAAGCTTAAACTAAATGTTTGGAAGAGAAGTTTTTTTTTTTGTTTTTTTTTTGTTTTTTTTATTAAATCATAGCTGTATACATTAATGCAATCATGGGGTACAATGCGCTGGTTTTATATACAATTTGAAATATTTTCATCAAACTGGTTAACAAAGACTTCACGGCATTTTCTTAGTTATTGTGTTAAGACATTTATATTCTACACTTAGTAAATTTCACATGTGCCCTTGCAAGATGCACCGTAGATGTGGTCCCACCAAGGAGAAGAATTTTGAGAAAAATACAGTACTGAAAAAGAAAATAATATTCTTCAAAAGTATAGAAGTAATCTAGATTATTATAGAAACTTTAAAGAGTTTTTATTTAAATTTCATAAACTTTTATTTTATTTTATTTTTGAGACAGAGCCTCAAGCTGTCCCCTAGGGTAGAGTGCCGTGGCATAGCTCACAGCAACCTCCAACTCCTGGGCTCATGCGAGTCTTCTGCCTCCACCTCCCAAGTTGCTGGGACCACAGGCGCCCGCCACAACACCTGGCTATTTTTTTCGGTTGCAGCCATCATTGGTGTTTGGTGGTCCAGGGCTGGATTCGAACCCGCCACCTTATGTGTATGTGGCTGGCGCCTTAGCCACTTGAGCTACAGGCGCCGAGCCCATAAACTTATAAAAATTTATATAATCACAGGGCTCATGACAATATTTTAGGTTAATTTTAACCTGTATTTTTAAAATTTTAGCTAAGATTAAGAATCTTTTACCATGTTTAAAAGTCTTCTCTACATTTCCTCAGGATAAACTGTCATCTCACATCCTTTGTCTAATTTTCTAATGAGCAATTGGTCATTTTCTTATTGATTTATATGAGTTGAAAATATTTTTCCCAGTTTATTATTTCTGACTTTCCTCACAGTTATTTCTTGCTTTTCAGTATTTATTCTTATGTAATCAAATTTTTCCATCTATTCTTTAATGATTTAATGATGTAGGAAAAGGGCCTCTGGCCTCTAAGATTATAAAAGAATTTTTCATAATTTCTTCTAGATCTATTGTATTTTTTCTTGATCTATTATAGTTATGTTTTTTAAAAAAAATTAATATTTAATATATTTTAAATCTACCTTTGGGTTGGGTATTAGGTATAGACTTAATGTTTTCATTCAGTTGGCCATTGAGTAGTCCCAATATTAGCTATTAAATAATCCATCTTTTTCTCATGTCTTGTGATACTATCTTTAAATGTGTTTGTGTCCATTTCTGAATTTTTTTATTCTATTCCATTTTTCTATATCTTTGACAGTACCACATTATTCAATTACTATAGCTTTATAATATTTTTTATGGGTTAGAGGACTAGCCTCTCATTTTATTACCCTGTTTTTCAGGAGTCATAGATTAGACAAAATGCTCATCTTTGTGAGGCTGAGGAAATGCTATATGTATCAATTTATACAGGGTATCCATATAAGTTCATGTGCAATTTAAAATTGTATGCTATTTTAATTGCATACAAACTTATATGGACAACCCATATATATCTTCTTGACTGATTTTTAAGAATATTTTAAAATTCTCCACATTTAGTCTGACACATACCTTCCTATCTTCTTACACATTGTCTCTATTTTGTTGTAACTAGAAGTAGGGTCTTTTTTCATATTAAATCTTTTATTTTATTTTTTGAATATAAGAATATTGATTTTAATTAGTTTCTCAGGAAAAAATGTTCAATTGGTTTAGTGTGTATGGTACTTTTCCTGTTGACTTTCTTGGGTTTTCCTAGTTTACAGTTTAATCATCTGCAACCCCTTTTTAATCTCTGTACCTTCTAATTTTTTGATTTAGATGTGTTTGCTAGAATTTTCAGAACAGTAATAACTAATGTGGTTACAGCAGACATATTGTCTGGCTTCTGACTTTATTGGAAATGTAATTCTCTTTTAAGCATTATACCAGATTTTAGCTTGAGAGAGTTATGCTTTGTATGTTAAGGAAACATCTATTTCTCTTTTCATATGAATCAGGAATAAATGTTGAATTTTAACATATATCCATTTAGTATACAAAGACATGACTAAACTGTTTTCTTTAAATCTTCTAATATGAAAAGTTGTATTAATAAATTTTCTAAGATCTAATTTATAAAACTAATCTTTACATTCCTAGAATAATCCCCATATGATTGACACGTACGCTGTCCTAACAAGCTTCTGGATTCTCTTTGCTAATATTTTATTTAGTAATTTTGTATCACTCAGAATAAGTGAATTGGTCTGTAATTTCTTTGTTAGTACATTATCAGAATCTGCTCTGAAAACTTTTGGAAATATAAGTATTTGGTAAATATAATCTCTTTGCAATATATTCCTACAGTTTAAAACATCCACCAAGAAGTAGAAGCTTTCCACTGCATCTCTTTATCCAACAGTTTCTCACCAGTGATTTAGTTAAATAAGACTCATGTGAGAACATATATGAAAAGTTTTACTTCTTCCATTCCAAATTTGGGGAAAATACATTGGAGATAATTAGAATATCAGAACATCAGTCTATTTCATTACTTCCTGGATATCATTCTCATTCTTTTTTCCATGCACAGAGCATTTATATTTTGTCGGGTATTTGTGTTATTATTTTTCAGTTATGGAGAAAACTTGTGCAGATGAACTTCCTCTTACTGTGAATTCTTCAGAAAGCAAAGAAACTATATGTATTTTTGGAACTGGGGATTTTGGAAGATCGCTGGGATTGAAAATGCTCCAGTGTGGTTATTCTGTTGTTTTTGGAAGTCGAAACCCCCAGATGTCCAGCCTGCTACCCGATGGCGCAGAAGTCTTGAGCTACCCAGAAGCAGTCAAGTCGTCTGACATCATATTCCTGACAATCCATAGAGAGCACTATGAGTTCCTCACCGAATTAACTGCAGTTCTCAATGGAAAGACATTGGTAGATGTCAGCAACAACATCAAAATCAATCAGTATCCAGAATCCAATGCAGAGTACCTTGCTCAGTTGGTGCCTGGTGCTCACGTGGTAAAAGCATTTAACACCATCTCAGCCTGGGCTCTCCAGTCAGGAGCACTGGATGCAAGTCGGCAGGTAAGATTAAACAAGCTTGCAATCATTCTGTTTTTTAAAAGTGAATTGTTTAATGTGCACTTAGTCCAAAGATTCCAAAATATAGTTCCAAGAAAAAATACTCACCAAATATTACATTTTGCTGATATATGCCATGAATAAGTTTCCTGGATTTGCCCATGTAAGGTAGTCAGTTGTTGTGATTCATCTCCCACTGTCCGCATCTTCAGCTTTTAGTTTGATGGAACCTAGTAGTAATGTCAATCACTGGAGGACTCTAGAAACTACTGTGGCATGGTGGCTATCCTTTTCCACCTCCATTACTTTGTGTGAAATTGGGTCTATTTATGCACTGAGATTAGAAGCAATCATAAGGTTATGTGGCACCTATAAACACAGAAGAAAAATCAAACAACTCACATGGTGGGAAAGTCAGTGTGATGTGCCTAAGCACCCTCAACTAAAATCCCTGGTACCTGGCTAGCAAGTTTAAAACATCATCTTGTTAAATCCATTAATTCTATATCCTTGTTTGAAAACCAGTTCACCATTACACGTCATGGCTCTGCGTGGGGCTGATATAGACTTTCACAATAATTATTAAACAAAGAAAAGGAGTAAATACAATTATTAGTTGTAATACTTATAGACTGTTTTTAACCCAGGTGTTTGTCTGTGGAAATGACAGCAAAGCCAAACAAAGAGTAATGGATATCGCTCGTACTCTGGGACTTACGCCATTGGACCAAGGATCTCTCATGGCAGCCGCTGAAATTGAAAACTATCCCCTGCAACTATTTCCAATGTGGAGGTTCCCCTTCTATTTGTCTGCTGCCCTGTGTGCCTTCTTCTTTTTCTACTGTGTCATAAGAGAAGTAATCTACCCTTACGTGAACGACAAGTCAGATACTACATTTCGCCTGGCTATCTCCATTCCAAATCGGGTCTTTCCAATAACAGCACTTACCCTGCTGGCTTTGGTTTACCTCCCTGGTGTTATTGCTGCCATTCTGCAGCTATACCGAGGTACAAAATACTGCCGATTCCCAGACTGGCTTGACCATTGGATGCTTTGCAGAAAGCAGCTGGGCTTGGTAGCTCTGGGATTTGCTTTCCTCCACGTCCTCTACACGCTTGTGATCCCTATTCGTTATTATGTACGATGGAGACTGAGAAATTTAACCGTTACCCAGGTAAATCTCTTCTCATTTATATTCCTCTGCTTCTTGAATTAAAAGATCTTGCTACATCATATTCCATTTCACAAGTATAGAAAGTTGCTCTTTTAAGCAAGTGTTATGTCATGTCATTGGGTTTTTGTTTTTAATTAGTCCAGTCGAGATCTCATACAATTATTGAGAAGAAATGTTAGATCACCAGATTCACTTGGGTTCAGATCTGTATTCCCAAGGCTCACAATACTGACAAACTGACAGACTTTGGGGTTCGAGAAACCTAACAACACCTGCTTGAATTCCTCTGGAAGGCAGTCAAAAAAATGTGTTTTTAAGCATCTACTTTTATGCATGCTATTTCCCTTTGAAAGTTAAAACCATGTTATAAGAGAGCTGTTCACACATGTACAATAGCAATGCAAATAAATTCAGAAAAGGGTGCTTATAACTCCTTACTGTTTGAATTCTGGGAAGTTGTCCTCAGAAACTAAACACTTCTGAGCAAATATCAAATACTATTTTATGCATAATCAAAAGATTCAGAGAGAATCAGCTGAAGGTGTCTTAAAGCATTCCCCAGGACATGTCATAAGTTAGTTCTAGTTTAGAAATAACTGGTTTTAATCAATTTTACTATACTCTCAAATATTATAAACCAAACTTCATTGATGATGCTTCTAGGGGTTTCTCTGCATTATTTTCCTAACAAATATATGGAAATCTCTTGGGTAAGAGTCACAGTACAAGTGCCTGTACCTCTCAGGCTGTGGTGCAACAGACTTGGTCTATATCATGACATAATAAACAAGAGGGAACAGACTGTGAGGGTGTGAATGATCAGCACCTAAAACAGAGAAACAGAATTCTGATGTAATTGAGAACATCAACTTTCGCTTGGGGACTAAAAAGCCTTATGGTAATGAAGGTTTAAGTAAATGTTTACCTTGGTTTAGGATTTATGGGGAAAGTTAAACTTTCTGCACAATTCTTAGGATCAAGTCTTACAAGTACCAGCAGAACCAATTACTTTTCTACCGAAAATTATAATTTCTAACTATATTTTTCTCTACAATTATTTTTAAATGATTATTAAGAAATGTCAAACAATTTGCTTTGAGCAAATAACTCACGCCCAGGTATTTTTCAGTCCCCTTAAGAGTTGGGGAAGTTTATTAAAAAATGTAATTTTTAAAATTTGCTAATAATTTTTTTAGACGCTACTCAAGAAAGAGAATACATTTAGTACCACTTCCGCCTGGCTTGGTGATTCGTATGTGGCTTTGGGAATCCTTGGATTTTTTCTGTTTGTGCTCTTGGGAATCACTTCCTTGCCATCAGTTAGCAACATGGTCAACTGGAGAGAGTTCCGATTTGTCCAGGTAAAGACTTCTATATTGAATTCTTGTTTATATTGCAAAATAAGTTTGGCTTTAGAAATATTCTCATTTTTATTTCATATCATGCCTAATTCTTCATTTTGCTCCATTACCTCCTTAGCAATCTCATAAAAAAATTCAAATTAGAAAATATTGAACTGAGGTACAAACAGGCAGATTCCATCCATCATGGTTTAATTTCCCAGTAGGGCATTCCTGGCCAAGATTCCAACCTGTTCCCGTAGCCACAGCTAAGACTGCACAGTGAAAAATCACCAGGAACAATTAAACTGTATGTGTAAAACTTCTAGCCACAAGGGGAAAGAAACCCAAAGACAAACTTTTACCTTCTAAAAACTAACCTTACAATATAGACATATTGTTATGGAAAGCCAGATATTGAATCAAGGTTTAAAATCACTGAAGCAAGGTTTGATGTCATCACACCAGACTGAATCCTGGTCTGTAAGAAGGAACATTGGTTTTTTTTCTACTTAGCAACCCCAAGACACCTCATTAAAGGCAGTTAATAACTATGTGTTCTTATAGACCAGTGGTCCTCGAAGTATGGCACCAGAACCTGCAGTGTTAAAATCACCTGGGAACTTGATACACAAAGACCCAGGCCACACCCAGACTTACTGAGTCAGAACCTCTGAAAATGTTGCCTACCAATTTGTTTGATTCTGATGTATGCCATTGTGAACCAGTATAATACAGAATAGAACATTAGTCTTTGAAGTTAGGTTCCAATGTTAAAAATAAAACTATTTAAACTTCATCTTGCACTTTCTCCTAGGGATCAAATGCAGTCAACATTCAAGGAATTAAGACAGAAATAAACATTGAGTTTTAGAATTAATGCCAAAACAAAGAAAGTTAGCTGAATGCTCTTCATTGGGATTGACATTAGCATTTGCTTTTAGTCAGCAACATATACTAATGCAGAGTTTTGTTGTTGTTTGTTTGTTTGTTTTTTGAGATAGTCTCACTATGTCACCCTCGGTAGAGTGTCACTGCTCACAGCAACATCAAACTCTTGGGCTTAAGCAATTCTCTTGCCTCAGCCTCCCAAGTGGCTAGAACTACAGGTGCCCACCAGAACAACTATTTTTTGTTGTTGTTTTAGTTGTCATTGTTTAGCAGGCCTCAAACCCGCCAGCTCTGGTGTATGTGGCTGGCACTGTAACCACTGAGCTATGAGCACCAAGCCCTAATACAGTGTTTTTTGAGGTCATACAGTATTTATTCAGCTCTAACTTCTAGAAAAATGATAAATAAAGGAGTTTTACCACTAGTGACCAAGGCAAGGTACATTATTCGTTCTAACTCAGAAGAGCTTACTTCTGGGAAACTTTCCATCCAGCAAAGTTAAGATGAAGCTACCATGTCATTTGTAAGCAACTGCTTTTTTTTTTTTTTTTTTTTTTGAGACAGAGCCTCAAGCTCTCCCCCTGGGCAGCGTGCCGTG